CGGGGCGGGGCAGCCGGAGAGTGGCTGGGAGGGTTCGTGGGCTCAGACTGACCGAACTGGAAGAAGTGGGGACAGAGGGGTGGTTTCAGGGTACCCGGGGCTCCCAGATACTCACTTCTCCTCCACCGCATCGAGGATCTCCGGGGGCGCTGCAGAGGGAAGAGCGTGGTCAGAGAGGCTGGCAGCCCTGCCCCATACCTGGCCCCAGGCACGGGCGGGCTCACCGTGGTCCAGCAGGTAGCGGACCACTTCCTTGCTGCCCGCACTGACTGCGTGGTGCAGGAGTGTGCGGCCGCGGGAGTCCCGGTGCATGAGGTCACCTCCTGCCCGGTGCAGCTCCTGCAGCTGAGGTAGAGAGCAGGGCTGGGTCTCCTGGGGAGTCATCGGAGCCTGCAGCCTGCTCCTGTGGGACCTGCCTCTTCTCAGCACCAGCACAGCGGGTCAGCGGGACACCAGCTGCCCGAGTGGAGACCCATGGAGAGTGTGCCCGCCCCGGGTGAGGGTTGTACCTTACAGAAGTCATTCCTCTGGGCAGCCTCGATCAGCGCCTCACCTGCACGGAACACCTGCCCGTTACACTGAGCCCCACGCGGGTGGTGTGTGTGTGCGTGATGGCGTGGAGAACGTGCAGCTGCGGGGCTCGTGGCTGCACGTGGGCCCCCTCCCGTGACCAGGGCAGACAGCAGGGACCCCAGGGAAAAGGCCTCACCTGGAGGGGCTGCAGCGCCCCCCTGCAGCGACCTGTGAACAGAGCAGGACGGGTGTGACCCATCTCAGACCAGCCCAGCCGGCCTGTCTCTCTGGGGTTTACCAAGTGCTTGCAGCAGCAGCACCTTCTGGGCACTGGGTACCTCGGGGAACGAGGCGGATGCAGAGGCCACAAACAGGTCAAGCACTGAACGAGGGACCCAGGTGACCGCGGGAGTGAGGGGACTCTAGGAGAGGCCTCTGGGGAGGAGCCGGGAGGAGGTTCAAAGGGACACTGGTGCAGTTTGGCCGCTAAGGCCTGTGACTGAGGCCCTCATTTGTTTGTGTCTTTGTGGACCAGGAGGGGTGCTGGGGGCACAGGGTGACCCGGGGCTGCTCCGGGGGGGGAGCATGGGGCAGTGGCTGAGGGATAGAGGGGAGGGGCTGCTGGGGCTCACCGGGGTGTCGGGGAGCAGGGCGAGACGGGGAGGGGGGAAGTTGGGGTGGGGAGGCCGGGCTGGGCCGCTGCCCCCAGCAGCTCAGGGTCCAAGATGTAAATCTGGTCCTGCGCGATCTCGGTCACGTAGTTGAGGTGCTCCTGCAGGTGTGAAGGTCGGGGCCAAGGCACAGCCAGCCTTCCGGGTCCCCGGTGGAGTCCAGGGCTCTGCTCTGAGCAGGGCCCCGCTCCTTCCCACTGCCTGGGCCACTTCTCACTGCCAAGCCCTTGGCCAGGTGCCCCGGCTCGTGCTACCAGCCCTGCCACGCCCACCATGGGGGCAGCAGCCCTGTGGAGCTCACCTGTGCGCGGTCGATCCTGTAGAAGCGGCTGGCGG